GGATCCGTGCCAGAGGAATGTCCACAGTGTTGGTACAAGACAGACTTTTGATGACTCACGGTAATCTAAACAAAGATGGCAGAAATACTGTACTGTATTGCTGATGAAATGCTGAGCGCTGCCACCCGGGCCGGGGGGAGACGGGGCTTTTGAATTTATGGTGCAGTTTTGCATATGAATCGCCCCGCTGTAAACCGCCTCCCCTCTGCCGTGCAGCGAGCATCCCCGGGTGTCAAAAGCATTCAAAGTATTCCAAACAGTCTGCAGAGCTTGGCGCAGTCGCTCCTCTGGGGTGGAAAGCCGATCGGAGGCACCCGAGCCAGCTCGGCCAGTGGGGGGAGAGACCAGGGCAGAGGGATTTCCACCACCAACACACAGACACACACACAGACACACACACACAAAAGACAGATACCTGTCAACCTTTCCAACAGAAGAAACCACAATGATCAAGGAAGGCAAACACAAACACACTCGCACCCAGTTCCCAGGATAAACAACTGCCCGGCTGACAACTTGCCCGAGAGCTCAGCGACTTACAGGTTGGGAGTTCGAATCCCGCCCCCCCCTCACTGCACCTCCTTGAGAGAGGCTGGACTGGATGATCTACAGGGTCCCTTCCAGCTCTGCTGTGCTAAAGAGGACGGCGACGATTAGGGGGAGGGTTTCTATGACATGTCACACTTTCTCTGCCACAAGCAAGTTGAAGTATGTTGGTGAGCTATCTGGCCTTTCTCACCATATGACTCATGTCCAAACCCTCTTATGATTTCAAACACAGGCTGCAGGAAAAAAAAATATGAGATGTCATAGAAATCCTCTTCCTAATGATGACCATCATGATGATAAAAGTCCAGATTAGGGTTCAGAGATTTGTTTGGCTGGATCGTCCAGTGGTTTAGCTCTCTGGCTGCGGAGCAAGAGGTTGGGGGTTCGATTCCCCCACTGGGCCTCCTTGAGAGGGGCTGGACTGGATGATCCTTTAGGATCTCTTCCAACGGTGCAGATCAAAGGTGCAGATTAAAATCTATCCAATGCCACAGATGGAGGTACAAATCCGGGTTCTGGGGCCAGCTCTGAACCCGACTTGCAGGGCCCTTAATTCCTCGAGTAAGGTTACCGTTCCTAGAGCCGTTCGACCTGGCAGCTGTGACTCATACCTTAATTACATCCCATTTTGATTACAGTAATGTACTTTACACAGGGCAACCTTTGAAGAGTGTTTAATTCTTAAGGCACCCAAAGACGTTCCATAGAACTTTTCCACATAGCAAGATACAAAACAAAAAAAAACATCAAAAGGGGGGAAAAAAAGAAACATGGTTGAAAAATGAACTTCTGTCTTCCCTTGATAATGGTCGGAAAGTATTGTCACTTGCAACAAAACCACGAACCACCAGGCTTTGTATAAAACGAAGCTGGGATGATTTGCATGGTCCCTTCCTGTGCTTTTCGCAAAACAAAGCTGGGATGATTTGCATGGCCTCTTCTTATGTTTTTTTTTCTTTTTTCCTTTTCTGCAGACTGGAAAAGAAGGACCAAGCTATTGCTGAGCCGGCAAATGTAGACAGCGAACGTCCTATATTTTGAATCTAGTTTCAATTGCCTGTTTTGAATGAAGCAAAGCATTCTGCTTATGTACTGCCCCACAGTATTCACAGCTCTCTCTGGGCAATTTACAATTTAACAATGCAGGCCACACATTAAAGGAGAAAATGAAATTACAATCGAAACAAAACGGATGGTATGGGAGTCATCTCTGCCTGAGGAGGGAGATAAAAGTAAGCTTGTGGGATCTTAATTGTCATGCTTTCACCGTAAGAGCATGAGGAGAAACCAGAACCTCGTAAATGGAATATACACGAAGAATTACTGGATCCAGCAGAACCTGGACCTCAAGAGATACAGAAGGCCAAATCCCCAGATAATTTTGAAGCCACAGTGGCCACATGGGAACTGATGAACGTGATCAAGGGACTGAGTGCGAGAGGCCTGCGCCCCCACAGATAAGGTGTGAAAGAGCGTATGGGATTCAAAATGGAAGATGCTCGGCATTGAGGGAGAGCCGACGCTCCGGTGGTCATCAAAGCTGGAGGTCGAAATGAAATGAACGAGAACCGACTCAAAGGGAGATCTCTACATGTCCCACTAGACCATTCCGGATCTCTTTTTGGCTGGACCTCTCCGTTGCTTGAACAGGATGGAGATTTCTATAGGTTTGGCAACTTCTCTCTCGGAGTCCAAGCATATGGACTGGACTCTAGGCTATCGAGGAAAGCTTTGACTTTCAGACCAAACTTCTTTACAGTCTTATGCTTTTTTCTTTTAAAGGATAACTGGATCGCACAGCTGTCTCTTTGCAGAGCGAGGGTCCCTCGCCTTTTGGGCGCTGATGGTCCTGGACTATAATTCCAAGGAATAATCGTATCATTTATATAATGTAATCCAACCTTCTGGGACGAAACCGGCTTGAACATGAACCTTCTTCTCCCACGAAAGATGCAAAGCCTACGTTGTAATTTCTGCAAAATGACCCGTCGGTTTCAACACTCATTATAACAATACATGAGAGAGAGAGAAACGCAAACAATACTAAGCTCTGTTATTTCCACCGCTCTGCTGTGGGGGAATTTTCTCGGAATTCTCTAAGCTTGGCCGATTCGGTTGTCAGAAACATGGCTGCCGACGGGACAAGACGGCAAGCAGAAAGGAGACCCGGAACGATGGGGTCGACACCCCGTTCAACCCTAAAGAGCGTGGCTTCTTGTTGCCGCTCAATGCCTCGTAAGGTGGGGTTGACGGCGTTTATCTCCGACCCTCCGAGACCCCCCACTTTCAGTACATCGCTCTGTGAGTCGTCGGCATGAAAGGACCCCAGAGGTGCA